GTCCGCACGGCGATTAAACGTAAACAACGTTGAAACGACGCGTACGAATTAGAACGTCGTATCGTGCGTACGAACGTGCGGTGCCGCGGGGTCTCGGTGGAGAAAGAACGGTACGGGACACTTTCTTCACCGCGTTCGACCGCGATGCACGCCGACCGTTCGCTCGCTCGCGCGCGCTCGCGTGTACGTGGCCTACATATCTGGAATTGTCGGTCTTATTGGAATCGATCTATCGGATTCCGTTGCCGCAAGGATTCTAACTCAAGTGACAGCTCGCGGCGGCGATACGAGGATAAACGAGCGCAAGGCCGGCACCGGTTGAAAAATTAAATGTCCTTGTTCAACTTTTCGCTCGTCGCGAAGCTCCCCCGTGCACAATGCACGGCGGTAAAATAGTGTTTCGTTATTAGATGTAAAACAAAAACAAAGCGGAGCTTTCTGCGCTTACTAATTCAGATTTCATTATTCTTTTAATAGCTCTTATAACAATGGACGCGTTGTACGCTTTTCGATCGATTCGCCGATGTTTCTCACTGAACTCCATACGCAATTCGCAAATAGACACGCGTAATTTTATATATCGGCTCTTTTTACGATACTCGTAAAACTCAAGTTATCTCTACCGCTGCTTTTCCGCGGAGTTTCCCTCTCCGCGAGGGGCCGTAGACGATCCGTACGCTATACTCACAACCGTGTACTGCACGGCTGGCAATGTTGCACTCACCTAACGTAGACGCGGCAGGTGGAATTGTTCACACGCCGGTCACTGGCGAGTCGCCGGCGATCTTCGAAGAAGTCCTTAAGCGCCGTGACACCCAGAACGAACACCACGGGGATCATCGCGACCTCCTTGCCGAACGCGTTGATAGCCGGCACCCAGTTGAGCAGCACGATGAAGATGAAGTACAGATTGGCCACGCGGTGGAACTGCTCCAGCAGGTTACGAGGTAGGAAGCTCAGCGCCGTGTACTTGGTTGTGCGTACCCTGAGAAGGAACCGTGCGAGATGCGTAAGACTACGGACGGATCGATGCGAGGTCGCGCGGTCGCGTCCTCCTCGTCCTCACCTGTTGTCCATCCTGTCCCCGTTGGGATGCTGACTCTTCGGAGTCTTCGGCGGGACCAAGTGATTCGGCACTATTGTCCTTAAACGGGGTTCCTCTGGCAGCGGGCCGAAACAATGGGCCCATAGTCTCCTCCACCACGGGGGCGCGACGCTACGTCTTATCGTATAGATAGACTCCGATCTGCAAACAGTCTGCGCCATCAACACCCTGCTTTCTACGAACCGAGCGCGCAAAACATATCGCGACACGGTAAGGCCATGCGTTCGGTAAATTTAGATTATAACTTGAAGTCTCATGTCGGAGCGATCGATATTAAAATGTAAATTTTTCCCATAATTCAGAGGAGGTAAGATCATGTAATCAAGCTTTCGACATTAACCGGCCAATGTTTTAATACAGAAAATTTATTGCGAAAAATATTACTTCAGCCAGGGTTTGAACCTGGACTTCCCTACCCTCTAGGTCGGCGTCTCACCACTTCGACCACTGAGGTATGCAACATTTGTCACAATAACAGTATAAAGATGTTGTCTTCGCGTCTACTTTTCAACTTTAAACGCACCGATTCTGCGTACTCATGTTGATACACGATTTTTAAGTATCCCTGTCCCCTTCCCCTCTTTCCCCAACATGGACGCCATTGCTAAGTCCAAATCTTCTGAAGATTCACCCTCAGAAAGGATTTCTGTTACTAATTGTAAGACAAAAAATATTCTTGACGCATTTACATTTCTCACAACCTCATTTAGTATAAAAAATAAGACAATATCAAAATAAAATCAATAATTCTTATTCCCCTCTATCGAATTAAAAAAGATTGACTTATATAAATGTAAGTTTATGTATTCCTGCGTTTGGAATAAATTTTCCCTCCGTCTTACAACGCACGAAGTTGGCACGACGATATTCGACAAAAGACGACACATACTATCACCTTATTCTTTTTTTCTTAGAATTGTTCATTTAAGATTCAAATATTCCTTTCTCTATAATAAATATGATTGGCGCTATATCGATCCTACTTTATGATACATTCAAGTGTAATAGCATTGGATCCATGCAGAAATTTTTTTCTGCGGGTGTTGATACGGAAAGACTTTCCTTTGGGAGAGACACTATTTTTCGCAATAAATTTTCTGTATTAAAACATTGGCCGGTTAATGTCGACTAAAAGCTTCATTATTGTTATTTATTACTGGCAACTTAAAGAGATTTCCATGTAAGATCATATCTTTTGTTTTCTTGCACCCGATAATTTTTCAAACAATTTTATCTTTTTTCTCATATTGTAATGTAAAGCCTTATCTCTTATAAGGCTTTGGAGATTAATACTTGTGGCTGGTAGTCAGATCGAATCGTTTATCGAGAAAACATTGATCGAATAAGTAGATCGTATCTTTAAATTTCATGTGTAACTGTAACGTCAGTTCCGCGGACTGCTATCTATTGTCGGTTGCTGCACTATTATTTCGTTATCCGATAATCCTTATCACTCGGAACGGTGATAAATCATTTTGTCGCCTCGTACCTGGACGCTTGACGGGAATGGCCGCGAAAGGAAGGCATCCTGCCGGCAGTGGGCGGCCTGCCGTCCTCCCTGTGGCCCGGCGGCAGGATAAAGTCCGTTCTGGAGCCGACACGGTGGTGGCCCGTTACGGCTGATTGCGTCACGTCCGCTACCTGACCCTGGCTGAAGGCTCTCTGGTGACCGGGCTTCTTCAACGCCGACGGCCGACCAGCGGACGTGGCGCTTCCCACCGCCGTCAACGGACCCAGGATGGAGCCGTAGGTCTGCCATCCGGTCGTGCCATCCGCCAGGACGCCGCCGTGGCTCGCCGATCTCGTGTGCGTTCTCGGGAAGGCTGTCCTCCTGGCCGGCGAGTTGACCTCCTCTACCGCGTCCTCGTCCTCGTCGCCGTTGCTGTTTTTCGACGTGCTCGTCATCGTCGTCGTGACGCTGGTCGTCATCGTCGTGCTCGCAGTGGTCGAGCCACCGTGGAGGAACGACAGCGAAGCCGGCTGGAGGGGCGTCGTCGAGATCGACGACGACGACGACGACGTCGTCGCGCAGCTCGGGCGGCCCGCGCCCGGGAACACATAGAGAGACCCCTGTCTCTCGATCTCCTCGCTGGCTGCTTCCTGCGCGTCGTCCTCGGACATGCTGGCACATCTACGCGAGAACAGAACTCGTGGATCGTGTGACATACGTAACAAGCGCGGAGCTCAATTTTCCAGATCATGGCAACAACCGATTGATATTCTTATGTGCCTTCAACAGCCTTAATTTATTTTTATATATAGGTCTAGTGATTAACGGAGGAGAGGAGATTTTGAGCGGAGATTATAATTATCGAATAAGATAATGCTTCTTATTTTTTGCGTACCATAAGTTGTAGATATTTGTCATAGATTTTGCAATTTTGTACAGTTTATAAACTACATTTCGTTATCAATTATCAAAGCATTGCCTGTGTCCAGCAGAAGTTAGCGCTTGCTAAGCGCTTTGCGTTCATTGGATTATACTTTCAGATCTGTGCTGAAATAGAGCTATTCTTCTAGATCTATCCAATCAGCATAAAGCGCTTATTAAGCGCTAACTTCTGGAGAACACAGCCATTGTTAATACACGGAGAGAATTTTCTTTTATCTTGAATGTATTGTAATCGTGGGACAACGCGGCGTTTCAAAGAATTTTATGAGAGTTGTTTGAAATTTTACCATACATACACTAGCAATTTTACTAGTGAAATGTATGGTAAAGTTTTAAAAACTCATAAAGTTGTTCAAAATGTCACGTTGTCCCACGATTTTCAGGGTAAATTTTAGGAGAGAATTCTCTCCGTGTACTGACACAAGATATCCTTGGGGACTTGAGTTTAAATGTTTAGAATTTAGGACTTGCACAATTTCTGAGCCCTGTTATCGATACCGATAACGGTAGCACGTGATTGACGTCATTAACTAGAATGTTAGACTCGCGTGAAAGATTATCGCATCTGGTAATTGATTGTACGGTCTAACCCGCCGATGTAATATTGCGCCACACCTTTGTCCGCGACGATAGATGAAATTGTATCGTAATCAGAATTTGCGGGATCGATACGATAACAGGTATTCAATCTTCTTCGATCGCGCTAGAAAGATAATTCGCCTTCGCACGCCCTTGCTCCGACAGTACGTGCGGGGTACGTTTTTCCAGCGCAGCCGTTTGACTGGAAACTTTCGTTGGCTCGCATTATTCTTCTCGCCAGGCGTTTGTTTATTTCCGCAACTGACGAATTATTCGCACTTAAGCGTATCCGGAATAAGAATCGTACGTGCATCGCCGCGTGTTTCTTCCAAACAGAAGACGCAAATACAATCGCGAATTTGACGCAATCGCGTGCTCGACACCGGATTTTCATACCGCGACGCGTTAAAGACGACGTCGTAATTAAGTGATTTTTCTTAGGTCTATTTTTAAGACTGGCTGAGAATAGACACCAACATCCTGTCACGGCTCTTTAAGCCTCAATTCCTTCGAATTTTTTTACTTACGGTATTTACCACACAAGAGCCTTATGAATTTCACTGATCCTTTTTTAAGTATCGATATGTTAATCAATTTTTACATGTACGTACTTTCTATATTTTTGTAAAGAATGAATGGTACTTTAGACTACACGTGACGTTTGATGTCAGATTCAGCGTGAGGATGATAACAAAATTTTATCTAAGCTTTCTATCGGCGCGAGCGTGCAAAACGTTGATAGGCCATTAATAGCCGCTTCGTCGAAAATAAACGTGGAAAATCGGCACATTGCAACATCCGCTTGAAGATACGTTGGTCGTTTGCAACTCATATATCATATTCATAATCATTCATATTCATATATCATAATCAGATGCCACGTATCCACGTGTCGCGGGCGTTCGTCGAACCTTTGTAAATAATTACTTAACTATGTAAATCGATCTTATCGGCCAGACGTTCCTTTGCAACCTCTATCAGTTATAGAATACATCATTCATTGATTCCCGCCTGATTTATTAGTAACGCGACACGCCGGTATTTTGTGTAACTTGCAGATAATTGGCGACTCGGCGAGAACATCTGATAATGTCGCAAAACAAGCGCGACGGGCTCTAATGTCATTTATTCGACATTAGACTCGAAATCCGGGTACAGCCGCCCGAGATTTATGGTCCGGCAGTGGCGAGATCAAGTACAATTTCGCACTCTTGTCGGATAAAAGGAGATATACAGCGGGGTTCCTCGGCGCAACGCGGATCGTGGAAAGCACCATGTGTGGGGAACCGCCTATCGGATATCCTGTATAGATAACCAAAGTAAACCATCTCTACAAAAAAAAAAGTGCAGCGCGCACGTCGGCCAGAGGGAAAATCTTTCGCTGCAAAGTGTGCGAGAGGCGGGGACTTGGGGCGTTCGCGGAAATGCCGCGTTATTTTCAGACGCCATTTCGAAATCGGCGCGTCATCAATCCCGATAGGCTCTCTCGCTCTCGAAAATAATCCGCGTGCCGATACCCTTCGAAGGGCAGCTCGCGTGCCCGTATTTGCCGTGCGAGGCGAATGGAATTAGTCAGATACGGCGCACCCCGTGTTTGGAAAGTGTATCGCCGAATGCTTATCGTTCATTTGCGTGACTGATAAGCACAAAAATACATTTCGCGACTTGCCGATAAGCGATCGATACCGCGATCTTTGCACAAAGGATACGCGCCCGTCTTTCCCCTGCCTGATCTCTTATTGGCGTTGGCCGCGTTCAGCAGACACAACTGTTGAGTGAGCGCTCGGTATGATTGGTTAATACTTTTAGATCCAGCCAATCATATTAAGAAATCGTTGAGCGCTCACTCAACAGTTGTGTCTGCTGAACGCGGCCATTAAAGGTCTCGGAGCGGCTCGAGCTTCGATTTGAACAGGTGCGGCGCGAACAGCATTTAAACGAACGCGTCTGACGAGCTTGTAGATACGTAGAAGCCGTAGATCGAGCAGCTTTTCGATTGAACGACATTGTTTGTTCCGATCTCGGACGATTTCCTACCAACCGCGCTGATCCTTATCCGGACCATCTATCTCTCGGGCTCCATCGGGTGACGTTATTTTTCTTACACGAAGCAGCGCTATATCAAAATGTGCTGTGTAAACGTAAAGATACTTATCTCGATACAGCACGATGTATAACAAAGGCTTAAAACTTTCCACGGTTCAAAATACATTGCACAACGTTGCGGACATGTCTGAAACTTGTGTTTCGGTGAAACTCGATTTTTTCTATCGTTTTTTAAAATTGTTTCGCCGGAAGAGCGTCCAGATTGCGCGGCTCTTGTTACGTTTACTTTTTAATTTGCGCTGATAACAGACGCGGATAACATCTAATTCAGGTTGGAGCGAGCACGGGACGCGTACTACGCGTTCACGGCTCGTCGTTCCACGGTGCGTACGCAACGCGTACACGCGCGTGCACGCGCTAATGAGCGCAATCGCGCGATCGCGTGTGCGTGCGGCGCGATCAACGAGATTCCGGTGTGCGCGCGATCGATGGCGCGGGGCACCCTTCTCTCTGCAAATCGCTACCGGCCGAATGTAAACCAAGTATCAAGGGTAGAAAAAAATCGAGCGGCTATTAAATTGGGTCACCCGTTTACTCGCGAGCGCCTCCCTTAGCCACGCTTTATCGCGTCGTTCGCCTGTCGTCGGGACGATTGGAGCGATTATTAAAGAAAACTGCGACGTCGCGCCCCCGATCGATCGCCGAGGCTCTTTCTGCATTATCCGAGATTAACTTTTCGAAATCGTCCAAGGAGCGTCGACTGTCCGTACACAATGCGACCATTGTCGGCCCATCTGCGCGTCGGGCAAGATTCCCCGCGACGTTTCTGTCTTTCCAACGGGGACGTTTCGGCTTTTTCCGACAATCCCGTAACGCTTTGGAAGAGGGATTGACAAATCGACGGGACCTTTTAGGCGACCTAACAAGTTTTTCTGACGGAAATAAAACGTTTTCGAAGCTGATGGAGCAATCGACCTCGGAGGAGCAATCGAAATGGTCATCTTCTCGGAAGGAAATTAAATTATCAAAGAATTTGGACGGAAGCTGGCAAAGTCGTTCCGGGCGAGATCTAAAATCGAACATCAGAGAAATAGCTCGCGAGTTTGTTTTCGCTTTGATATCGCGATATTTAATGTGATAATATGAAAAGATTTATCCGTCTTTCCCCAGTTAACGCAAGAGTGACTTTTCTGATCAGCGTTGATTGAAATAAACGCGACGAGTGTAACAGAATCTCTCCCCCCCCCCTCTCTCTCTCTGTCTGTCTGTCTCTCGTGTAAAACATAACGGAAACCAGATGGGGTCCCTAAAACATATCCCGTAGCGCCCGAGAATAACGTATTTTACTCGAATAGCGTTCGCGCTTTAGAGCGAGATATTACTGCCGGAAGCACGATGAATTATACAACAGTCGGATTACCGAAATGTAGCTAATGACCGTCGAAAAGTTTTAATTAATAGTCGTTAGGTTCAGGCCACTCCGGTAATTCTTACTTTCTACGCTTATCGGACTTGCACGAGCGCTTGCTTAAGAGGCGAGCCATTAGTGTTCGACTGTGACTCAGGTATGTAATAATGGAAATTTCTTCGACACTCGTTTCAATCGGACTGCTGATAACGAGCGTGTCGCGATAAGCGCGCTAACCGCGATCGTTAGCCGCGGGACAGATGTGCGCGACACGAACAAATTACGAGATTACGGTTCTCGAAAATCGCTGGAATTCCACCAGAGCCCGGGATCGATCCTCCTTTTCGGCCGGAGTCGTGTAATATTACTCGCGCGTATTATTACCGCCCCGTCAGCGAAATAAATCGACGGGAGCCGCCTCTTGGGAAATAATAAGACTGACAATTTTACGCGAAGCGAATGTCGCCGAGTTAAAAAGGTGCGGAGCTAAACGAATGTCCTGCCGGTGTGGCGGTATAAGACGGGGAACAATCTGTATCGTTATTTGTCACGGTCTTACGATGTGCGCGTCGCTCTTTTATTACACCATACGTTACTTTATCGTATCTTTTGCACGGTAATGCACGGTAATTCCTCGTTTCATCGCACTCAACGCCGTATATTTTTAACGACTTTATACCTACGCTTTTAAATTACACGGCGAGTCACAACATTGTCCTCCCTGTAAGCCTAATCTACAATGCGCTCTTTGCGTCCAGAAACATTCCGTTTTATTTCAGCAAATGAAAAAACGCTGAAAAAATTTGTGGACGATGCGCGACTGTACAACTTGCTAATAACTTGTCGTGCGACAAATGCAATACCCAGCCTAATAATGTACAACTTGCACAAATTTTTTTTTATGCGTTTAAGGCTACAGAATAGAATACTTCTAGACGCGATCCAAGGAAAAAATGATAAGTGAAGATGACGTGAGTTTGACGTAATATTAGTCAAACCTGTGTCATATTTTGGTCAAAGGGACATCGAACTGACGTCGTCTTGACCTTTTTGCTTCTCCTTGGGGAAAGAGCACGTTGCAGACCAGGGGATCGCTCGTGCAATGCGGAATTGCCGGGATCAGGTCGTCGGCGAAAGAATGCCGCCTTCTTCCTAAGAACGGCGATTTTACGCGATTGCATTGAGGCGAATTAACCGTTACTTTACGACGTTGCAAACTGTAAGCTTTTCCCTGCCGCGTTCGTGCCTTTTCCGTCGCGTCGCGACGGCCGAGTCCTTTAAATCCCGGAAATCGCGTCGAGTCCTTCCTCGCCTCCTGTCGACCAAATTCTACCCGTCCAGCGTGATATCGCGGGTATAGATCCGTCGTTCGCTCCTTTCGATTCAAAAGCCGCACCCGCTCGTTTCTCGATCGCGATCTTCCCGAAATCAAAACCGTCCCTCCTGCCCGAGCCGAGGGAATCCGCCGCTTCCGCGGCAAAGTCGCGCGATCGCCGGGGGGGAGTGGGCGGTCGAAAACCGGTGGTTCCGCAAACGCGGCTGACTTTCCCGTGAAAGATGTTGTCTCGAGGAGGGACCGAGGAAAGAGACTACGCGCGCTTGCGCTCGCATTCGAGCCGCGCAGCGCGCGGAAGGGTCGAAAAGAAAGGGGCAGGGGAGGGAGAGATCTCACATTTTTCCTTCCTCCGGACGTGGTCCACGTGGCCTCGTTGCGAGCGGCTGGCCCGTTTTCCCGCCCCGAATTCGTCGGCAGGCCCGACGCGTCGGAGACTTACATCTCGCCGCGTCCGCGCGCGCGTCGAGAAAGTCCGCGGCGAGGAGGATGAATCACGGGCACGGTGAACACCTGGCGGACGAAAATCGATCTCACGTATCCGCGATCTCCTCTCCGCGGAGCCGCGCGATCGTCGAACGCATCGGCGCGCGCGCGGGAGATTCCTTTTCTTTTTCCCTTTATCTCTCGCGTTCCCGTTTTTCGGACGCTTTCGAAATTGCGCGCATCGACGGACTCACCTCGACGTTTTCACCGCGAGCGCGTTATCGCGGCCGATTCGCCGCGGCTGATAAGCGCGAGCGCGTTGCCAGACGTTGCTCCGACACGCTCGACGGTCCCGACGACCGACGAGAGTATCCAGTCCACCCAGTCGTCGTGAATGTACTAACGTCTCGCGCTCGACGGCTCGAACCGACTGACAGACCGACCAGCACGCCGCGGAGGTGAGCGCGGAATTCGCGCGCGGCTTGCCCGGTGATGCCGTCGACATCTGGCGACGCGCGAGATCGAAGAGAAATATTAATGCCAGAGAGCATGGAGAATGTATAAGGAGACCGAACTGCCCGTAATCAGAATGGGCCGATGTTTGTGCCCGCCAGACGTTCTGAAAAGCATAACTCCATTCGCATTCGTACCACAGTATAACCAGTATGCCCACTCGCTCTTTTGTTTCACGTTCGCGCCGATCCGTACTGCGCATCCGACATGTTCTAATTATGACCAATCACAGGATTTTTGTATGTGTGTTAGTGCAAAGTCGGTGTGACATTGAAAAATTTGCAGTGTTGACGAATAACGCGTTAATACTTTTATACGTTGGAGCAAGTAATCACATTAATTACTTTTATTAGAACATTTTTTTCATAGGCCATTTCCATTTACAATAAATAATGTACGCTAGTTCGTACGCGCCTTTCCTGGATACGATCCTGAAAAGGGCCCAGGCACTTTTAGCCGTTGATACACTGTTGGATATAATAAAAACATGGCGGAAAATTGAGAACGCCCAGATCAAAGGTGCTACACTCGGTGCTCACCAGTGCTCACACACACACAAGCGCAACCATGGCCGTGTGCATCTCCGTTTGCATCAAAGCTTGCATCTCTGCGTGCAATTCGAGCGAGTCGCGAACGATCGTCATTTCGCACACGACTTGCCGATATTCGCTCGAAGGGCACGTATCGCGGAATTTCTCGGGACAGATTTCGATCGGAATTATTTCGATCATTTCCCACATTCCTATTGTACTTGTTGGGGAAGTCTGAATGATTCCGATTGTAATTCATTCCGAAGAGTCCCGTAATACGTGCCCGACGGTCTCATCACAGTTACATAATGTTACAATTTACTTTCAGCGAGATGTCGAGACCGCAAATGAACTCGATAATCTGCAACCAATGCTTCACTCTGTAACGTGGTACGGGCGTTGTCCCCTGTCCCCGATGTACAGGGGGCAACGTCCGTACCACGTTACAGAGTGCGGCCACAGCTCCTGCCAAAATTGTCTGCGATAAGGTAAGTGAGCTTTGAGAGAGACTAGGTAAACCTCGCGCGATTCGCTTTCCATGATTCCGGCGTACTTATTCACCCTTGCGACTTTCAGTTGAGAACCGATGTCCGCAATGCCAGCGTGTCGGCATCGTCTCGACAGCGCTGGAGGAGCCGTTGTCGCCGACGCTGATACCGTACTTCCAGCCGTTCGCCGAGCTCCTAGAAACGATACTGAAGGTCGACACGTTCAATAGCACCCAATTGGAAATAATGCTGCAGCGCTTCTACGATCTTGTACGTAATATCTGCCTACGTCTTCTGTTCTACAATCCTCTTGTCGCTTGCTTTTTTCTGGTCCTAGGCTGCGTTCCAATGTTCACTGCCGGTACTGACAGCTTGTCGGTACTGGCAGTAAATATCTGAATGCAGCCCTGGGCTGCGGTCAAGCTGTCGCTTGAAATGTTTCAAAGTGCTCGTCTTTTCTTTTCTTTCAGAAAAGATAGAAGAAGAACGGAAACACTTCGAACATTTCTAGCAGACCACAACCTTAATTTCTCATAATTTTCTACTTGTATCGCGTCTCTTGTATCTTCCTCGCGTTTCTCATGTGTCTTTTCTTTCTGAATATTTTT